TACACTACGAGCACCAGTGAGCTGGCTAAGTAGTCTGAATGTCCGAGCAGTCGTCACGTTGATCGAGTTCGATAACTTTGGGATTGGCGTTGATTGAAGCAAGAGCCCCTTTCGCCTTCGTGCAATAGGGACAATACGACTTGCCGAAAAGCACGACCTTGTTGGAGGCAATCTCGTTATCAACGAAGCTCTTGACTGACATCTCACGTATAAGAAGCTTTAACAAACTACGGAGGGAAAAATGGTGATTAAGGAAAAGTGAACTAAGTGATGAAATCAATTTATGTTATCTTCTTGACACCGATCCTGAGCTACTCCACAGTTGAGACATCTCAAAGGAGTTCCTGCCGGAAAATATACATAATCGTTGCGGACCGCAACATGCGGTTCACAACGGGCGATAATATCTCATCCCACCAAGCTTGCTATTGGGATGAGTGTAGGTAGCTGAGCTCAGGCGAGATATCGTGGAATACTTTGTACTAACCAACACACAAAACGCTCGTCACATTTGGCCAAGAAGGGCAGGCCTGTATTGAGATGGTCGAAGTCTTTCTCGAGCCGAAACCTGGTCAGTCGATATGCATCAAACTATGACGAACGGAGTTGCTTGGATTACATCAGAGGCTAGCGCGATCCGTCCAAACCTGCTCAACCAGTCAAGTGAGGTACGTATCTAGCGATAGTATCAGCCATTTTCAGATAGGGTTGGTACCACCAACTTGGTAGCGATACGTGACGCGAGCAATTCAGTAGCGGTTAAGATAGCAAGATTTCTCTCGAGAGCGTTGCGCGCGTCCGTACGGCGCGAGGTATGACACTAAGGATTCTGTGATGCTGGTCATAGGCGAGCGCTACTTTATGTACATGCGTGCTGCTTTCACGCTGCTGTGTGTTTACGTACGGGCTTTTATAAGTTACGTTAGGCTAAGTTGAGTCCGGTATAAGTTCTATACAAGGCTTTTACTAGTTACTGACTTATACTAGCTTACATAGGGATCCATATCTATATGAGGAGGATATGGATAATAGGGTCTTCATTGTGTTGCTATAGTTTTGCGGCCATTGATTGCACTCTATTGGGCACTGGATCATTCGCTATGGTTTTGCGAACCCTTATGGATTTAGGGTTTTTGAGTCATCTGAGGACTAAGGTTGTCGCTACGGATTGTCGATATATATTAACGGAGTCTAGCTTTGAGTTATCTGAGTTCGGAATGGTTGTTACACGTTCAGGAAAGACTACCGAAG